AAATGTCCATTGAATTTCCCTTTTATTCCTGCGATTGTGGACTCTTCCTTAAGTATCCTTTTATGTCGTTCTTTGGAATAAACCCAATCTCTCTAGCAGTTATGATCTCTTCTGCATCTTTGTTCTGATTACGTGCATCAAGTCAATGTCTACTCTTAGTGAGCCTTAGATAGACCTTCTCCAAAATGATGTGTCCCCAACCTGGCCCTTCAAGTCTTCCAGCTGTGCTGTGACCCATCACTCTGTAACCTACATTGCTACTGATCATCCCTTTTCCTTTCTCAGCATTATGAGCTTCTCCATAAGGTGTCCAAAACGTGATAATGTGAACCTTGTCATTTGTACCTTGAGTGAGAACTCTGCTTCAATTTGTTCTGTGAATATTTTTGTTTATATATTGTAAAATAAGAGTGTGCACACACACACACACACACACACACACAGATTTGTTGGGATATATCTTTCTATAATTTTGATTCATTTCATCCCTGTCTTACAGCTATGCCTTGCTGACTGATTTTTAAACCATTCTGTTGATCACATCTCCTCTCTCTCTCTCTTTTTATTTTTTAAATTCATTTTTTGTTTGGTTTGTTTCTTCATTCCTTTTTCCTCACTTGGAAGGAAAGTGAGGTGGGGGAGAGAACAAAATCACATTCAGGCTTGTTTATCCCCTGGGTCCGTCAACCTTGACCTATGCATCCTTCATTGCTGCTGAAAGTTAATGGACCAGAATTGCATTCCCCAAATATTGGGGGGCAGAAAAGTAGCCAAGCCCTGAACCTAGTTGATCTCTGGTGATCAGTTCAATTTAGTGACCATTTTTAGCCATTATCCCTGGCCGGAGTGGTGGTGATTTGGTGGACGTCTGGGGGAGAATTGGCTCTTTGATAAGAGCCCTGTTATCAGTGGGGGATACTTTCTCATTTACATTTAGATGAGTATTGATTATTTATTTACTTGGAGAAGTGAGAGTCGCTCCCAATCTTATCTCTCTCGTCTCGGCTTGTCAGCAGAAAGAGAGATAGAGCTCCTGACATCTGCTTGGAGATAACAACACTTTGTAGCAGAGATAAAAGTTGGAATTGGGCCTTTTTCTTGCCTTGACTGAAAGGATAAGTTTTAAAAATTAGAACTGATGGGTCGGGCTTTTCAAAAGCCCTTCTGAAGGCTTTGCAATTTAGCTGGCAGGCAAGATGGCTTCTTAGAATAATGTCCACCTTATACACACACAAACAGGCACGCACACCTTTCTCTCTTTCTCGCTTCTGTTGAGGGACTGGCTTGATTTGGCTGCGTGCTATCAAAGGGAAGAACATTTTATTATTGTTTGTGAGATGTTGCATAAGGCAGTATTGACCATCATAGGTCCTGTTTGATTCTTTAAAAAAAAATATTAAAATCTTCCCAGCTGCTAAAAGGGATGCTTTTAAATTTTAAGAGGCAAAAAACACAAAAGTCATGGAATGGGTGCCACTGATTTTTAAAGTTATAATTAGAGGTTAACAGTCCCCACCTATGTGAGCATAGGGAAGTGCTTGAACAGTATAAGTTAAGGCTTTCTTCACTTGCCATGTCTCTGCTTTCAGTCGATTACAGAAATAAAGGTTGTACAAGACATTCTGCTGGTTCTCATTAATAAGTGGCTGGTTGAGTTATGGGTGTGTTACTTTAAGCAGAATTGTCCAATTGTCCAGTGTGACTGCCTCTGAAGACCATCTGCTGGAGACCAGTAGGCTTCCTTGTACAGTTGGCCACTGTGAGAACAGATTGCTTGACTAGATGGGCCAGGGGTCCAATCCAGCAGAGCATGGCTTATGTTCTTCAGTTCTAACCTCCAGGGCAGGCAGAGCAACCCTCCCATCTTAGGCTATCAAATTTTAATTTTTAAAAGATAGGAAATAAAAACAGTTAAATGCACTCAAAGCCATTCCTTTCAACTGTATTTAATTAATTGTGCTTTCATTTAATATCAATGAAACGAAATCAAATGGGGGGGGTGATTTTGGCCTAGCGTGCTCTTTGAACACTAACCTTTGGGCCTGAAAAAAGGAAGCAGCGGGAACATCTGGCCTGCAAGGGGAGGGAGGTCTAGGGGTGGCCATATTCAGATCTTTGATCAACATCTGATCTCAACAAGGTTTAGAAAAGCCTCTGTTGTAGTCAGCAGAGTGTTTTTAAATCTCACCAAAGAGGCTGGGGACATTTTTGAGACTAGTCACCGCTGGGGAGGCAAGGACTAATTCCATCCCAACCTTAAACTTTTTCTTTTGTAGAAATTGGCTTTAAAATAGGTTCTGTACATGTCATAGCTGGAATATGTGTGTGGGTTTGCCTAGATGTACGGAGCCAGCAGATCTGGTAGAACCCTCCCAGACTTAAATCACCCTATTCTTAGGCTCTCTTAAGTACAGTACTGATCATAGTACAGTCCTGTCTGGCCTTCTCTTTCCCCCAATGACCAACTTTTGGAAGCTCCCAAGTCAAAGGGAGCCAGAAATAGATGCATTACAGAGTCCTCTTCCCTGAATTAAATCAGTGTAGTGGAGATAGTTTTACTAGGGAAAAGTGGGGAAATGAAACATGGCTGGCTGGCTTATTTATTAGTTTCTTAGTTTATCATTTGACCATTCTTGCTTCTGCTGGTTCCTATAATAGGAAATGAAAACAAGATAGTTACATGTTAGGTTCTCCTCTTTACTAGAACACAGCGGCTCTTGCCTGCTTCTTGTTGCTCTTCGGCAACCTTGGGAAAGTTTCAGAAGAGGGGTGCAGGACTGATTGTAAAAGTTTTCTGGTCAGTTTTGGGACAGATAAGAATCTGAGCTTTATGGAGGCAGGTTTCATGCAGTAAACGGTGCCAGGGGCAGATTTTGGAACAGACTTAGCGTTTGGCTGATTCCCAGCCATGGAGACAAGAGGGGAGAAGCTGGGGGATCATTTTACACCAGGCTGCTCAGTTCTTAAGCTGTGTCTGACAGCACACATACACAGAGTTTCCATTTCAGCAAGCGTACTAGCTATTTAAACAAATAATAATCCTGAAGGAAAGGATTATTTTTTTCCCTTACTAGACAAAACTAGCTGTTGGTTTTCCTCTTCTTTGCCTGGGCTTTTCAGGCACTGTTTTGTTGTTGTGATTGCCAGTACTCATACAGGACAGTGTTTTTCCAAAGACTAGAAAAGTACACGTGCTATGTTGCAATCAGATGTAACACTTTTGCTTTTCTACATGACGCTGCTTGGTTGTGATGCCTTCTCTCCTTCCTTCCTTCCTTCCTTCCTTCCTTCCTTCCTTCCTTCCTTCCTTCCTTCTCAAAGCCAATCTTCCTTCCTTCCTTCCTTCCTTCCTTCCTTCCTTCCTTCCTTCCTTCCTTCCTTCTTCTCCCTCCCTTTCTCTCCCTCCCTTTCTCTCCCTCCCTCCCTCTCCTTCCTAACATTATTGCTGTGACTATGGACTCTTTCTTTCTTTCTTTCTTTCTTTCTTTCTTTCTTTCTTTCTTTCTCATTTATTTCGCAGAGTGCAGTTGGTTTCCTAAATGCCTGGAACCAGCTACATGTGCTATTGCTGATTATGTTCGGCTGCAGAGGGAATTCACGACCCATTTTCCTCCCTGCGGCCCGCAGATCCGTTGCTTTTCTTGCATCTGCTTGGGAAGTCACCATGAGCTCGGGGCCTCCATTTTTCCCCAACAAATTAATGCAGCATCAGGAGCAAAATAAACTGGCTGCAAGAGGGCTTTTGATACTACTTCCAGGAGGAGAGGAATGGCGGGGGCGGGGGGGAGGCAGAGAAGGGAAGAAGAGTTCTAATTGAAATCTAAGTGCAGTAATTTTTGAAATCTAATGGGCTAATGTTCCCATCTTGTAGTCGTGAACGTGTGAGGCTTCCACTTTTATTTTTATTTATTTATCCAACTGTATTTTAAATATATGGAAAACGCTTTGGTGGTTTTGAGTAATGGGAGAATTATTATAAAGGCTTAACTCCCAATTGGGTGTAGTGGCTTGCTCTTCCTGTCCACATTCTTCTCCATATCCCAGCCTCACTTATTGGATCCCCTCCATAAACAGTTACAGTAAAAAGCTTTTCAGGGAGTTGTTCTCAAAGGAGAACAACGGTTGAAAGTCAAGATTAGATCCCCTTGAATTCAGAAGAGCGTTTTTCCCAGTATCTGTTACAGCGGGCATTTTCATGTATTGATTTACTGATTGGCTGAATTAGAGGTGGGTGGGAGAAAGGCTCAGTGAGACCAGTGACCCATGCATGAAGCAACAGGGACCTTCCTCAGATTTGGGTAAATTCTGGGATGTGACTCGGAGACCCCAGCTTCCAGTGAAGTGACAAAGCTGAATCGTTGAACCTTAAGAGTCAGGCCTTGCTGGCCCATCACTGGGAATCCACAACTGGAGATTAGACATGGCAGCCAGCCCCTACGAGCAAATGCTTTAGTCTGAAAAAGGAGCCTTCCACTCCTTTCTTACTCTGGTACGTTATGCCATTGTCCAGGAAATCACCAGCTAGGATTCTTGTGTTTACATGCAACGGGAGGCGTGAATTCACAACACGGTCTAACCCTAACCCTAACCCTAACCCTAACCTTGGCAGACATGGGTTTCCTACTGCTCTCTGTCCTTTCATGCTAAAATGGAGCTAATACCTAAAACAAGGCTGTTACGTTGGTAGGAGAATGCAAAGACGTCCAAGGAAATAATGGGAAGCGTTTTGTTGCATTCGAATCCTGGTTGCATTTGAACCCTGCCTAAAGTGGGCTCCATAACCCACCCTTTCCCCCATGTCCAGATGCTGGGCCACCACTCCCATCCCCCTCAGCTTGCGTGGCCATTGGGGACTGGGGAGAATGGGTGTTCTGGCCCAGCACCCCTATTGATATACTAGCTCGGGGCCGCCTCTTCAGTTCTTCTCTGCCACCCAGCCATCGAGGATCCTCTTTGCAGATGGAAGGAGAGTTCCTGTAAAGTTTATTGTCTCTTTTCAGGGCCTCGATACCGCCTGGAGAAACAGAGCGAGCCAAACGTTCCCGTTGACTTAGACTGTACCTTGGAGAGCCAGAGCACTCTGGAATTCTGCCTCGTCCGCGAGAATAGTAGGTTGGCTCTTTTCCCTGACTCCCCTCCTTGCAGCACTTTATAAAACAGCTTTAAGCTCACGTAAGTTATGTCCCCTGGCTTTCCAGCCCAAGAGGCCAGCTGGCCCAGCCGAGTTGGAAGCGCCTCTGGTTCTTTTTCATTCCTTCTCCCCGAAGACAGCTCCCATCCTTGCCAAAAAGAGACTTCTGTTCCCAAAGAACAGAAAGATTGATTTCATAGCATTTCGGTTAAATAGTCTGCACCCTGTCACTCGGTTGAATAATCTGTTTTCTGCTCATCTCAGTTCTCGTAAAGTTGCAAGCTTTTGTGAAGCTTTCTCGTGCCCCTAGTGCTGATCAATCCTCTCCCTACCCTCCCCAAACCCAAATCTGCTGCGACGGGTTACCATTTCCTGATCAAGATTTTTGGCCTCATTCTTTCCATCCGCCAACTGTTCTTGACTTTCCATCACGTTGTTTCTGTGCCTCAGAGACCCTCAAAGCTTTTGTCTGCAAAATGTAACACTTCTACTACTAATGCTACTACTACGAATATGATTAATACTGCTGACGCTACTATTAAAAATTACGATTATAATACCAGCATTGTGCTTTGTGGGGTAGCAGAAGGCTACTCTTTGCCCCAACTTTGAAAATGTATTAAAGTAAACCTTAGAAGGACTTCAAAACTCTCCTTTTAAAAACGTGGACATTAACACTCTGGTTTCACCCATGTATATGGTGTGGCTCTGGTTGGTTTTCAGCCTCCAACACCCTGAGCCCCCCATCATTGCTCCTGAACCCCCAAAATCTGTTCATCCCCACACTAAGGATGGGCGTTTCAGCGGTCCAAATTGCAGGATTCCTGGAATCCAGGCAATCCTGGAGGAATCTCATTTCCTTAGGATTGCCACCTTTTAAACATGGCATTTAAGGCACATCCGGAGGGGGAGCAGAGGGGGGTAAAGTCCTGGACAGCTGGCACTCCGATCTTCAGATGCCCTGGAGATGTCTAAAATTGCCGTGAGACGTTTCCGTCTAATTTTAGCTACTGTAATTAAAATTAGCCATTTATTCAGATAAAGGATTTGCAGTGCAAAGGCATTTTTTTAATTTTTTTTCAGAAGAGCATGCATGCACACAGGCGCACACATTCTCTTTAAGGAGCTGAACAGATGCTAGAAAAACAAATGCCAAAATGCTCCATTTTGAGACATTGTATGTTTATATTTCAAGGGATTAAGTGAAAAATAAAGGGTTTTTGTTTTTTTTTTTTGTATTATTAGCACAGCGAGATGTCTTCTTTTTCCACCCTGTGCTTACTGCAGTTGGGAAGATGAACAAAACTACTTCCCATATTTGGGAATGTTCAGTAGGATCTGTGCTGTAGTGGGATTCCCCCTCCCCTCCTCTCCCATCTCTCCGTCTCTCTCTTTTTAAGAGAAGTCCCTGAACTATTCATGGTTAATTTCCTTTTATACTTCCCACCCAGCTTCTGGAAAGTTCCTGGTTCTCATTTCATCATTAAATCGTAATTAGTATTCAAGGGAAATTGATCTTAATATATTAAAATTGGTTAAGTGCCTTTAGTCCTGTACCAAAGCCAATATCTTATTGGAAAATGTAATTGGGGACGCTGTGTATGTAATTAATTGAATTACAATTAAGAACTTTCATTAAGCAATATACCACTACATTAAAGCAATAAGGGAATGGGTTGGGGGATTTGGGGGGTGGATGTAGCGCAGCGCAGCTAACCTTTATTGTTGTTTTCTTGGGGGAAGAAGAGATGTGTTCATTCTTCTGGGGCTGGGACAGCTAAGTATTATTCCAGTCTCACTGGTACCAAAGTTTGCTTTAGTAACATCACAGCAGTAGCACGAGCAGTAACAGCTTGGGGTTCCTTCACCACCTTCCTAGCATCCTCCAGATGCGTTAAGACCACAGCTCCCATCACCAACAATTTATCTGTGGAAGCACTCCTTTGGAGAAACCTTCAGTAGAAAACAGGGAACAGTGTCTTTGAGATCACTTTAGCATTAATTGACGTTACCCAAAACCACGGGTACCAAAACACAGTTAAAACATAAGAACTAAAATGGCCCAAACCTTCCTAGATTTCCTAGCCTCACCTCTGGATCTTGTGAGACATCAGGGAAGGTTATCCAAACCTTGTAGGATTTGAGGTCCCAAAGGATGGCCTCCATTTCATTCTCACAACTAAGGGTTTGGTTGCTGTTAACCAATCCAACTTGGGCAACTTCCCGATAGGTGGGCTTCATCTCCCAGAATTCCCCAGCTATCATGGCTCTTGCTGAGAATCCTGGGAGAAAGTCCGCACGCTGCACTGGCATACGCCAACAGGCCAGACATCCTCATGGTTAGGTAAGGATTTGAATCCAAGGTGTTCTCATTCCTAGTCCAACATTCTAACCATTCCATCTCACTGACTCTGAAAGCTGTGTAATATCTGAGAAATTCTACCTTTCTTCATCGCTCTCTAGTTTTCCCTAACACATCATTTAACTACTCCCAAGAATCTAATTAGGGTTTTTTTTTTAACCTGCAAACGTGCAGGCTCCAAAACAGGCGCTCATCCCCGAATTTCTCTCCTAGAAGGAAAATCAGTTGTGATTTGCAGAATAATTCTAGCTCGCTGAGGGAGGAGGGTCTGCTATAATCCTAATAAGAAACATCACGTCTCCTGAACAAACTATAGGGTATATTATTATTTTATTATTCTTGTCTTGTTTTTGTGATGGCATTACAGGATTTTTCTCCCCTCTGTGAGTTGTTTTGTTATTTTTTATTGGCAGCAGAATGTCAACAGCCTTAAAAATAAATAGGAAAGATTTCCAAATGTTCAAGAGTAACAACCCCATACAGGTTTTCTCCAACCTGCCTAAATTAGGTTGTTGAAAAAGAGCAAAAAAACCCAAACATTGACTTGGTGGGAAAGGACTCTGTTTAGTTGTTGGTCCATGGAAGACATTTTGAACTAAGCAACCCTTCAGAGGTTCATGAAAATGGGAATCTACCACAGCAGGAGGACACCTGGTTTGGGCAAACTGCACCATTCAACCTCATTCTGCCAATTCCTATCATGATACTGTCAATAGATCCTAAAGGCTAAGAAGATAGTGAGTTCTATCATAGGACCGTGGAATTGTAGAGTTGGAAGAGATCACATGGATCATCTAATCCAGCCCTTTCCAACATGCAGGAAAACCATTTAAATTAGCCATAAGTGACTGTCCAGCCTCCTCTTAATAACCTCCAGAGATGGAGAACTCATCACCTTTGTAGGTAGAACATTCCACTGTTGTACCATCAGGAAATGTTCTTTATATTGAAAGGTAAACCTAACCCTACTTTATATCCAAGTAGCTGCAAGTTATACCTATTATTTCTGGTCCTAGTTTACATGGCCACGAAAAATAGTTCTGGGACATCCCAGTTGCTTCTCTTATGTGCCTTTTACAAACATGGCCATCCCCTAAGCCTTCTTTCCTCCAGATGGGACATCCCAAATTCCTTCAGTCTGTTCTCATAGGGCATATCTTCAAGTACGTTCACGGCCCTCCTCTGAACCTGTTCCAACTTGCCAATATCCATCTGGAAATCTGGTACCCAGAATTGTGTCTAGTCCCAGTTTAGTTCTAGTCGTGATTTTGTAGGCATCTTCAATAACCCCAGAAGCTTTAAAGCTTCAAGGTTGGACCTGGACATCAAATGTCAAGCTACACATTTCATAGCAATATTTACAATTGGCCATATTGAGACAGAAATGGTTGTGACAAGACCAGAGAAGCTATTCCCATTTCTACAGGCCCGAGTGGTTACAACGGCATACGCCAGCTAAACGTGCAAGAGTTATCCGGTCCATTCTGAGGCATCAAGGAAGTCAGACAAACCTGATTTATTTTACAGATTCGGAAGTCCTGTCGGATTTCACACGGCATAGCATTGGGGTGTGAAATTGTAATGACGGGGCCATCTGCCTGAATCTTCACATACCAATTGAGTCTTTGCCTTCTGCATTCTATTGAGAGTTATTTGTTGTTCTTCTGAGCATATTTTATCTACTCCTCTTGCTCCCAGTCCCATTTCTCCAAATAGTAGATGGACTTTGTTTTGAAGGCAAGGGAAGCAGCTTGAGAATGGCGACAGCAACAGCAGCCTGGTTAATAACTGAAATGGCTGCTCTCCTCATCTGGGCCATTTACATAAGCAGAAAATGAATAACTTTGGGCTAAAACTGCTCTTTTCCCTTCCCCTTAAAACTTTGGGCCAGCCAGGGCCAATAAAGTCATTGTGTGTTGGAGAGAGGTTTGTGCTTGACAGAATCCATCCACCCGTTAAGGAAGGCAAGACAGAAGTTAGAAAAAGCCAACAAAGATATTGGAGGACAGAACTGTGTGTGACATGGTGGTTGTCTTGAATCCCCAAGCTAATCTGTTCCCTCCTCACATTTGTGGTTGAGGGAGCTACCCATTTAACAATGCTGAGTAAGATTCAGCCATCACTCTGATTTGCTTTGTATTTGGCACGTGGAGAAAATTTACTAGACTGCTGCCCGTAAAACAACATCTAACTCAAGTTCTATTGAACAGATGGAGGGTGCCCTGTGGGCACCTTTTCCCTGGGGGGGACCATTTGGTGTAGACCAGCCTGTTCAATAAGGCTGTGGTTTTCCAGATGTTGCCGAATAGAACTCCTGACATCTCTCCCTGTTGGTCAGACTGGCTGAAGACTCTTCCTCTAGAAGAGGCCCCAGGGTGCTCAGCCCTATTGTTGGTCACACAGTCAGCCAGATGTTTACCCTGGATTTGGCATTTTTATCCACCTATCAAGGCCTTCCCAAGGACCTGGGATAGGCAGATGTTGTTGTTTGATGGTTTGAAGGTGTTAAAGATATCATCGCAGGATATAAGCCGTTCCAAGGAAACGGAACTGACTAATGGTGATTTTTGTCAATGCCGATGGTCTTCAAGTGGTGCTCCAGGTATTTTGGGATTGCACCCGAGGTGCATCATCATCATCATCATCATCATCATCATCATCATCATTATTATTATTTGCACAGTCAGCCAGATGTTTAGACTGGATTTGGCATTTTTGTCAAGTCCTTCCCAAAGCATACAAAGAACAATTATTATTATTAGCCCTGGCAAATTGGAGGAGCTGGGCTTTTCTAGCCCTGACGCCAGGCTATTTTAGCATACATTTCCTTTTTATATCTATATCTATCTATATCTATATTTATAGGCATTTTTATTTCACATCTAAACCTGGAGGTGTTTTGCCTAGTACAAGTTGCCTAATGTTTGGACTATCCATTTATATACCTGTGGATTTGGAAAGGTCAGAGCTGGGGGGCGTTACTGCCCTGACCCAGTTTTCAGTGACATAAACTTTCACAACAAATTAATATACAGAAATTGACAAGACGCATTTGCAATTTACTACCACTTTTCAAGCTTCTCCGCTAAAGTCCATCTTGTCGTGTATTTCTTTAAAAAAAAAGTTTTCATTAATCTCCCCACGACTAAATATAGAGCTGCGAAACTGGCAGTTGTTTTGGCTTCTAAGGCTACATTAGCCAGCGTATTAAACAAAATGTGTCACTCTCTCAGTGTCTTCTGCAAGAAGCTTAATCAATTTTCTCCACTGTATCCACGCTCCACTTTATCTAAAAGCATCTGTATTATCATCTACAGCTAAGATGCTTTATTAGCAGTTGGCATAGAAATTGCTCTGTGAGAAAAAAAAAATTCCTGTCATGTTGTAGGGATTTTTAAAATGGTGTTAATCTGATATCATAGAATGCAATGTTTTCCTTTTCCTTTTTTTCATAATCGGCATTTTTTTGCTTAATGATTTCCTCTCCTTTTTCTTATTTGGGAGGACATTCTATTCTGCAGTGGCAAAGAGAACACTATGAATAATATTTGGGATTCCCAGGATGAGCTTTTGAACTTTGTTACTACTATTCCTTAAGTGATGGCTCAAGGTGCTACTTTTGATCTAGACAAAATTCCCACAGTCGATTTACGACATCTGAAATTTACCTTCCTGGGAGAAAAGGCACAAAACCATCCATTTGTGTGGTAATGAAAATATATTCCAGTACCCAGGCAGATGGGCATAGCTGCTGATTATATAGCCATTCCAGGTGCATTAAAACTCCAGGCCCCAGAATTCTCAGCTTGCGTGGCCCACTGAATCGTGGGAGTGGCCTTCCCAACCCATTTGGAGGCATGAGGTTGGAGAAGACTGCTCTGCAAAACGGAAGAGGAATAGGAGAGAAATTGCTCTGAGCTTTGTAGGACTGATCATCTCCCCCACAGATGAGGAAATTAGGGCTGCAGTACCCAAGTCTCAGAGGCCAAGACCTTAATATTCCAAGACAATACCAGCATTGCTAGCTGTTGTATAGTAACTCAGTCTGTTGATCTGGCTAATGCAGGCAGATGCCCGGAATTAAACTTGAGCCCTTCTGTGTGCAAAACAGATGGTCTGCACTGAGCTACACTCCCTTCTGTTCTTATGTGCGTATGCTCGTTGACTTAAAAAATAAAGGGGGCGGGGGAGTGACATACTTTGGATCTTCAAGAGTTGTTGCTCCCCAGAAGTCAAGGGTGATAGGAATTTCAGTCTAACAAGACCTGACAAGCTACAGGTTCCTTACCTCTTAGTCCCATCCACCTTTAATTCTAAAAAGGCTTCTTTAAGGATTCAGAAATATGATAGAAATGCTAACATATTAATTATAATAAGGAGCCCAGCAGGTACAGCAAATTATTCACTTTAGGAAATACAGTACATGCCTCAATTTGTCTGATTAACATATACCGGGTATGATCCAAACTAAGTAAACTGAACTTAGCTTGAGAGGGGGTGGGAAATGAATGGCATTAGCCATGGTTGAAGTCCCATCAACTTAAATTCAAGTAACTTAGTCTGGGTTCAACCAATATGTATAAGAAGTTCCTGGGTCACACTAACATTCCTTTTTCCTCTTCTAAGAGGAAAAGTCACCAGCGTGACTTATGAGATCTGTCTGAAGTTTCTGTTTCATTCATTCATTCATTCATTCATTCATTCATTCATTCATTCATTCACTAAAGACCAAAAGGGATACCCATTCAAGATCTGTCCTGTTATCGCTGACCCATTCATTGTTATGGACCTCTCTCTCTCTCTCTTTTTTTTTTTTTATGGTTCTACTTGCCTATAATTAACTATGTCAGGTTTGACTCGAAGAAGTGGATGAAAATGCTAAAAGATGATTCAGTGCTAAGGGTGTTGGGGAGACATTTGAAAGTCAAATATTTTCATCCTGAATTTCTAAGTAATTATATACCTCCAATACTGGCACACTGAGCACTGATTCTTCAGTCTGATCCAGTGTGTTTTTTGAGAGCTTTTTGGACCAAGATGTCTGGGGTCAAGCACCACACTGAGCTGTGCTTTGTTTTCTAAGTTAACCGAACAGACCACAACTGGCTGCCTTCTTGTGACATGCTAAGCCACAGTAAACCATAGTTTACAAATCACTGTACTGTGGTTCGTAGGGCACGCTAAGCCAAGCCATACTGTATCCCAACTGCTTTCCAATATCAGCATAATAGCATCTACTCTTCCAGCCCAACCCTTCAGCCCAACCCAACCCAAATCCAGTCCAACCCTCTGCTCATTGCAGGAATGCATCTCTCCTGCATGTACCAGCCTGTGAGATATTTGTAGACTGCTATCATATCTTCCTTCAGTCTTCTCAAGTTTACCATGCCCAGCTTCTTTATCTGTTCATTATGGAGCTTGGGTTGTAGATTCTTGATCACCCTTGCAGCTTTTCTCTGAACCTGCTCCAACTTTTCCATGTCTCTTCTCCAAGATGACACCCAGAACTTGACGCAATCCCCACCTACCTTCCAACCACCACAGGGTACAATAACACTATTGCCTCCTATGGTGTGGTGACCCTTTTGAGTTACTACAGCCCAAGGTTGCCCCAGCCTCTTAAGTTGCTGCATCGCTGAATGATTTGCCCTCCCGTGTCTCAGTGGCAACCAGACTTTCTCTCTTTCTTTCTCTCTCTCTCTTTTGGCGGAGGCTCGAGAGGCGAGGAGATCTCGGAGGAGGATCCACAGATTGACATCGCGACTGTCCAAGATATGCTAAGCAGCCATCACTACAAGTCTTTCAAAGTCAGCATGATCCACAGACTCCGGTTCACCACGGACGTTCAGTTAGGTAAATCAGTGTGTGTGTGTTCGATGTCCTTTCCCATTACCTTTTATCGGTCCAGTTGGGTCCAGCATCTTTCAACAAACCTGATCACACAACCTGAGGATTAACAACCTCAGCAAATGTGGCCAAAGACAATTAAAAATTGTTGCAATTAAAAATCTATAGGCTACGTCACTTCCCCCACCCGGTCTCCTAATATTTGTATCCCAACCACATTAAGATGATGTTCCTTGGGTTCCTTCAAGAGAAAATGTTCCTGCTGCTCCTTTCCTACTTCACGTTCGTTTCAGAAAAGGGGATTCATGTCTTAGAAAAGCACAGAGCAGCGTTTTCAGTAGCCCCCATTTTGTGATGAAATTTCCCATTGAGGACAGCCGTTGAAAACACAAATAGAAGAAGGAAAAGTCGAGAAAAAGGGTCTGGATGTGTGTATTCATCTGAACGAATCAAAGCGTTGCAGCATTTGGGCAACCTTTCTTTTTACATGCAGACTGCTTTTTCCCAAAGCTGGGAAAATATAAACTGCAGCCCTTTCATCTCTGGAGACCCTCGGTGTGTGTGCATGTGTGTGTGTGTAGGAGAACCAAGTGCAATTATTTATTTCCCTCAAAGTTAAAACCACAAAGAGGTTTTCTGTTTCCCTTTTTCTCCATTGTTGTTTCTCTCTCTTTTTTTTTCAACTTTTCATTGCATTTTGTTTTCCTTTCCTTTCTTTCTCCCTCTCCCCCCCCCCCTCGCCCCACCCCCCCTCCCGCTCGCTTCGCCCCAGC